ACGAAAATAACATGCCCTTTCTGAAAATGGTTTGTAAAAAAGGAATCCTGAAGGACAAAATAATTTGTAGTTTGTTTGAGAGTTTTAACATAAGTGAATTGACTTTGTTTGAGATTCCTATTGCACTAAAGTCTATGACATGGGAGCGAATGCTTCACAAGATTTCCCCCGAACGGGACGTATGCTAAACACTCTAGAAGAAGTAAGGAGAGACTACCCACTTATCATTTCCCTTGGCGTACAATGCTCATCATATTTATTACATGTTTTGATTTTGTTTAAGAGAGAGAAGAGAAAGACTCAAAGGGCAAAAGAAAATCTAAGGGAAACTCACCTATATTTTCTCATGCAATATGGCCCTATAGTTGAGGATGAGAAAGGGAAGTCTACCTAATGTTATCATGCAAAAGATGGACCTAATGTTGAGGTTAGGGAAACTATCCTAATGTTATCATGCATGGATTAACACCTAATGTCTATCATACTTCAAGCTTAATCAAAAATTAAGTTGGACTAGGAGGCCTTAAGGGAACATGCAAAAGCAAACAAAAAAAAGAAAATAAAACAAAAATAGCAGCAACAACAGCGCTTCAGCTCAGTACAGAGATAAAATCCAACAACAGCATAACACAACATTTAACATCATGCATTTTCAAAACAGAACAAGTGTAAAATGCAACAGAAGAGAATGAATACATTTCGCAGCACATATTGAACACCTCAGCAGTGTATACAGCAGTATGCAAAACATCCAATAAAAATCAAGCATAAATGATCATGGACATGTATCACAAAATCAAACCAAGCATGTATCAAAGATTAAACAATCAACAATGAACATGTTCAACAACCAAGCATAAACATGCGTCAAAAATAAATGAGCGAAAGCATGCTTCCACATGTAAACAAATACACATGAATTGCAAGGATTAAGTATGAACGTGTATCAAGTAAGATCAATTGATGAACGTGTATAGACAATTAAGCATGAGAAAATTTCAACGAAATTGCACACTTAAGCATTCAACAAGAACTACATGAATATTCATCAATAATCAAACGTCTCAAATGAACGCGCATTTGCGGAATCGAGAGCAAACATGAGCATGTATCATGAATCAAGCAAAATAAGCATCAACAGCAAGCAAACAAGTATGAACAAGCAAACAATATGAAGAATGCATCAAGAACGCAACACAATTAGTCATGAACATGGATCATAAAATTCAATGTGTCGTGTGTCGAAGAATCGCATACATGCTGCAAAGTGAAGTGAAATATCTCAAGAAAATTCCACAAATATGTATCATATAAAACCATGAGGTTTAGAGGACTAAGGCATGCCAAACAACCCTTGAAATCAAGATTTTTAAAAAATAACAGTGATGTAACCGGTTACATGGTGATGTAACTCGTTACATCAGCAAAAAACAGCAAAATAGGGGTGCAAGCAGGGTGATGTAACTGGTTACATGGTGATGTAACCGGTTACATCAACATAAAACCGCAAAACAAATTTTTCAGCAAAAGCACTTTTCAACCACTTAATCATTTAATTTCCGCGTAATAGAGCATGCAAATGATCACGAAAATTACATCAAATAACAACATTTAAACACCAATTGAATCCATCAAACATCAAGATTAACAATCAAAACAATCAATGGATCAAATCACACCAAAACCATAAGGATCTACATTGTGAAAGTTGTAAAATAAGGTAAAATGAGTTTGGATCTAAGAATCACCAACCTACAAAGCGGAGATTTACTTTGGTAAGTGTTTTAAAATAGAATGTGATGAATTAAACCAAGAAATCCAAAGATCCAAGAAGCTTTAGCAAGAAAAATGGAAGATCTGCGCGGAAACGAACGAAACTGAAATTACTTCCAAAATCACTTCAAGAAAGCACTTCCAAATCTTATATCTAGATCCAAATTAAATTCTACTGTAGAATTTGTGTTGATGAAAGGAAAGGATGAAGGTTTAGCTCTAGAATTAACAAACTCAAATGAAGAATTTGAGAATTCTAATGGAAGAGTTTTGGTGAAGGTTGAAGATGAAAGATGGAGAGTGAAAAAGTGAGAGAGAATTGAAAGAGTTGGAGTGTGAAGTGTAGAGAAATTAGAAAAATGAGTGAAGTTGTGCGAGGTTTGTAGCAAATTCACTTAAATAAGCTTTAGGTTTGGAATAAAAGTGAGGTTTGGAGTTTGGGTTTGAATTTTTGGTTTGGAATTAGGAGTGGAAATTATTTGAATTTTGGAGAAAAAAATTAATTTGGGAATAAATAAAAAACTAGAAGCATTCTAGATCCTTCTATTGATGCAAATGTGAACCCAAATGATTGCAATGTGTTACAGACTGCTACAGTTCTGAAAATTTAGTATTTTTTTTGGAAAAAACAGCAGATGTAACCGATAATATGGTAATGTAACCTGTTACATCAGACAAAACATGCCTTTTCGGCTTGGGTACAGTGATGTAATCGATTACGTGGTGATGTAACCCATTACATCAGGAAAAACTTCATTTTCGTACCTTTGAAGCATCATAACTTGAGTTCTAGAGATCCAAATGGTGCGTTCTTGGTATCAAAATAAAGTTTGAAGAATGAGGAACAACTTTCATGTTGGAGGAAATTTGAATTAGAGCTTAGATCACCAAGAAACTTTCCCTTGAAAACATGTCCTCTAAGTTGAACCTCCACTTAGAAAAATTCCAAAAATCTTAATTTTGCAACTTCTCCTGATTGCATGATTTCTCTTTATTCCTCTTGATCAAACCTCATAAAAACATGCAAGATGACTTGAAATGCCCAAATAAGACTGAAGAACTCAAGATTTGACTTTTGTAGGGCACCAATTGACTTTCTTGACCTGATGAAACCCTAATCCTCTTTCTATTGACTAAGACCTATGCAATGACTTGTGATGAAACATGATACTTGTAGGGAACCCCTTGAGATGTATATTAAGCCATATAACACTCCCTTGCTCAAGAAGATAGCCACAAATGCTCTTTGACCAAAACCCTAATTCCAGCCCAAAAGATAGGAAAGGGCAACCAATGCTCAAAAATCCTAATTCAAATGATTGTGAGCTTGTTAAGAATGCCTTGGTGAAGCTTGAGATTATCACAATGTTGAGTACATCTTCTTGCTTATTGCTATGAGAACTAATCCTCCATCTTGAAGAAAAGAAAAACCCTTGATCTCATGCCTTGGGAACAATGCAATGCATAAATGAAGATGCAAATGAAATGAAGTATAAGCCAATAAGGTTAACAAAAGGGGGAGCAAATTTTGGGGTGTTACACATGATGTTGACTGCATCACAACATCTGCATAAATCTCCTCAACTAATATTCAACATGTTTTTAAGTCTCCAATGAGCAGACTCAACCCTATAAAATAATATTACAAAAAGATATAATAAATAAATTGATAAATATATGTGTAATAATATTAAACTCACACGGTTATAAAATGTACCTAATTGTTGTCGCGTTTCCTAAATGAGTGACTTGGTCAGTCCATGCAGTAACAAACTTTTCTTTATCGAGTGTTAGTCATGTTTGGTGCATATAATCTACAAATAAAGGAATATCAACACATATCATCTCAAAAACCTTCAAGTGTTGCTCAAACTAAAATACATTATTTGAAAACATGACTTTGTTCCATTGATTCATAACACGCTCTTGCCTATTAGCCTCAACGTATTCCTTGTACTTCAAACCAACATTTTTTAAAATATGCAATACAAACAAGAGATGGAATGAGAATGGGAACACAACTTCAATGAAGTTAATCATAGTAAGTTCTCAACTCGTCACCATGACCTTGAGAAGAAACCTTTCAGATGTAAATAACTCATTTAGCTTCTTTAATGGCCATGTGAACTTTGCCTCTCTTTCATGTTCCAAGTAGGAAAATCCAACCGAGAAAGTCAATTTAGTTTATGTAAAACCAACGATCTCAAGTAGTGGGAACTGATATCTATTGATTTTGTATGTACATTCAAAGATCAAGATCAATTGAAACATATTCAACAAATTCACATAATCAAGATGTGTCTATAATATATCAACAATAACATATGATTTCTCCTTTTTTCTAGTCCATCACATGTACTTCTCATCATGAATTAGGGTCAACAGATGTTGCATTTTCATTTATGGACCTCTGATAGTAGAGTGGTATGTCGATATTGCCTGATATATCTGCGTCGTAGTTGTTAGATTATCAGTATCCTTATCTCTCAATGCAATCATTATGAACCTTGAGGTCATGTGGTATTTTGTCATGTCATTACAAAATGTATTTCATCAAATTTTAGACGGCCTAATATGTGAGGACCCTCTAAATCCTTAGCTAGACCATAGTTGTGAATTCATTACTGTCATTACATCTCTCCTCCCATTATTATAAAAAGAATTCCAACTACTTTTTTAAATAATCAACTCACGCCCACACAGATTCACACCACAAATAACAAAAAAAGCACCATCATTTTCTTCTGGACTTGCAACACCAGCAAGCAACATTATCCATTGCACTTCCACCTTTCAAATCCCCAAGAATTACATCACTTATAAAAATATGGAAACCAACCTAACCTTTTACAAGGTCCCACATTCCACTACAAATACTAAAACCCCACTATCAAAGCACTTACATCATGTTCCACTAACCTCCATACTTTTTTATACAAAAAGGAAAAGCATATCAAATGAACTTTGACAAGTTTTTTCCCTTTACAATAAATTTTCTAAAGACAAGATAGGGTCTGCTTACATTTTCAGGTATTGACAGTAAACCCTGTATTGACAAAAGCTGAAACAACCGCAAAAAAGAACCGACTATGGCATCCTACTTTGAATGCAACTTGTTGCAAATCACTGACTAAGATTAAGGAGATTAGGAACATGCGAATAAATTGTGAGTCCCGGAGTAGTACGTGTGCGCTTGATGGGACCACTGGATATTACCGAAGGTATGTCTATGAAGGAGGAGTAGTTTCGGGCTTAACTATACTTGAGTTGTCTGAGGGTTGTGACTGGTATATCGCTGATGCCAGTGAGATTGGCATAATGCAGAGTGCCTTTGATTGAAGGAACTGCATCGCAGCCCCAACATTTTCTTCCATGAGCTTAACTACTTGCTTTTCTGTGCCATCATTAGACCACTTCTCCCAAGCTGGTTGGTTTCTCCTGCTCTCACTTCCTTCTTCCTGATCATCAATAAATTTGATAAATTGTTTAGAGAGGGGGATAGAACTATGTGAATTACAAAGTTTGAATAATTACCTCGACCGACGATAATGGGATGTCAGTTACTAGTGGTGCCACCGCACCGGCTCCACCCAATCTACTCATGCTCAAAACCTGAAAGATTAATGAATTAACAATTATTGGAAATCTTCAGCACTCTTAGTTTCATGTTGCTGACAAAACTATAAATTTGGATCCAATGGAAAGCCTTGATGTCAATTTCTTATACAAACAGCAAAATGCATGTACTCGTACTCCCGACACGTCTCTAGAGAAATCAATGAAACTATAAAGCTTTTTTGTTGAAAACTAGAAATTGGTTTTACTATTCACACATTGAAAATTTCACATGCTATTGGTGAAAGACAAAAAGACTCTTGGATAGTTGGATGTTATTGGGTAGTTAAAGTCACAACAAAGCAAAATAGCATTAACATGGTATCATTTGACTGTATTTAGATATACACGAGTCTTTTAGAATGAAATCCAGTGGCTAATGGGTCCCATACCAAAGTGGCACCTCAGGCTCATAATAACCAGTTGAAATTACCCGAACGAAATGATGATAACTTGGGGTGAGAGGTCAAAAGGCATAGATAAACCTAAACAGGTTTAACAGAATAAGCAACAAATCCCACTCAAGCTAAATTTAATTATAAATTTAGACCTAACAGGGATAGAAATCAAATGTGCAATCCATGCCACTCACAAAAGCACTAACCTTCACTTGAAGCCTTAAGAATTTGACATAATCTACAATTTCATCCAGCATGGCAGCTCGATCTGTCTGAATGAAGCACAAATACACATAGTATTAGAAACAATGAAATGCTTATGAAGAAGACCAAGAAAAAGACATCAGACCAAAACTAACTTAAAAAAATCTCTATATCTTGATATCCAAATGACTCATTTCATACTTCAGAACTCTAAATATTTTGCATATGCCTAATCGGAATACATGCTGATTTTGTCCATTTTTTTTAACTTTTTGATAGGATTGTTTCCCAGACTACTTGTAATAAACAAGGAAATATTTACCACCAAAACCGAAAACATGTGAGATATCACTATTTGGAGGACTTCTATTTAAGGGCACAAACTCAAACACGCAGTTAGAATGAAATCATCCTTCAAGTGTAAACCGACATGACCAATGTCAGTGTAGAACTATAGATCGTTATGTTCAGACTAAGTATGCAACAAACAATATCTACCAAGATTCTATCAAATAACAAATATCTAACAACAATACAAGACAAATCAGTCTAAACACCCCCTCAAAGCTCCATTTTCAGCATTGTTTTTGTTTCAGGCAATAATTAACAAGCTGTGCCAAATTTTGGGTGGCCATGGAATCTTTTTCTCACGTCATAGTAAACATGAAAGGTTCATCCTTACCTAATTACACAAGTTCTATAGACAAGTACAAAACAGTACATATCTTGCAATAAAAATAACACGCAGAAGTCACATACCTTGTTGACACTAGGAACAAGTTCTTGCAAAGCCCTGATTCTTTCAGCTATTCTCTCTCTGCGCAACTGTAATCAAATGGCAAAAAGAAGAATAAAAAAATATAAGCATATCAAGGAATTAGCTATCCTCATTAAAAGCATTATTAACAAGCAGAAAATCCATATTTTAGAAAAGATACTAGAGCCAACCCTTTCAGCGATGCTGTGTGGATCTGTAGCCTGTCCTCTTCTTGCCCGCACTCTAGGACGCATTGCTGGTGGATGTGGAGCAGTAGGAACTGTAGTCGGCATGGGCTGCCCATGAAAAGTCTGCAAAAACTTTATATATCTCATTAAGAAGGAAAAATGCTCCTTGAACAACAATACTCCTACAAAAGGCAGCATCGGTAATCTGTGCCACAACATAACAGTTTTGATGATGTGGAAACTACAAGGCGACTGCGATTGAAGCTATATCAGCCGTAATCAACCTCGACTCTCCACAATATTAACGATCGTGATCGTAATCGTTTGTGCTACTGTAAATTAAAACCTAGATAAATAGTAATACACAATTCCTCACCAAAATCAAGCCAAGCTTAAATAGATAATCACAAATTCACAATCAACAAAAATTAAAACATTATTGAAAATAAAATAATTTCATAAATATTTAACTAATGCAATTAAATTAATAGGAAGAGAAAAATAAATTGAAATGAAAAAGGTTATATGCTATGTTACATTCTTAGGTCTGGTATCAACAACATCTTCCCGGAACCGTTTGCCACTCCCGGAAGCATCATCCGGCTTCAAGAACCCTCCCGTACCCTGGTCTAAGCTCAGGCCCAAATGGTAGACCGGTGCATGAAATCCCGCTCCGCCAGCAAGATGAGTGGCAGCGTCGCCGGAGTTAAGCTGCAGCATCATCGGAGAAGCTAATGAAGAGGCGTCGGTTCCGTCGGCGGAGGTGAAATTCGGGAGGCCGAGAATTTGCTCGAGGAAATCATCGGCGGGTGTATCGGAAGGATGATTCGACATGACTCGGTTCGGACTCGGACGAGTTGAGAAAATGGTGTACTTTACTTTTGGTATAGAGAGAAAATAGAGTTATAGTAATCTACTACTAGATGAAGTAGAGAAGATAATTTTTCAGTTTTTTTTTAATAGTTTTGGGGTTTGTTTGGTTGATTATTGTTGTGTGTGCTTTTGTTGCTTTTTCAGCTTATTTTCTACTCTTTCTAACTTGAAAATGATGTTTGAGAGTTCATACTATGAAGACAAGAGGGGGTTTGGATTTATTTTTTTCTTGGTTAAATTAAATACCGCTCATTGTTTTTTAATTTTTTATACGTAATGCATGCGGGTTGGTTTGGGTTGAGTCTAGTCAAACCCAATATTTAATTTGTATAGGATATTTTAATTTGTGTGAGATAAAATAAGAGAATTTTTTTAATGTACTATATGAATTACTAATACATTTAGAAAAATATAATAATATTTAGGAATGACAATTAACTGAGAACTATAATATTCGTCTTAAAATTGACGATTTAAAATAATTTTCGTATCTGAGATAATATTTGCATGCATTAATGTTTGTTCGTATCTGTATCTTATGGGTAACTAAATACTCATATAAATTATAATTTATAATGTCATTTCAATTTTTTAACAATATTTTTAAATAAAATTGAGAATATTATTGTTGAGGTAAAAAATAAATAATTTTTTATATTAAAATGCGTAAAAATTTAATATAGTAATATATTTAATAAAAGTGTTAAATATATATATATATATATATATATATATATATATATATATATATATATATATATATATATATATATATATATATATATATATATATATATATATATATATATATATATATATATATATATATATATATATATATATATATATATATTCGTATTCATATTCGCTTATTTTAGTGGGTAATTGTCGTGCCCATATGGGTATCCATTTTGCGGGTACCCACTGGGGATAGGTACAATTGTCACCCCTAAGAATATTTACAGATTATAAAGATGCTTTCTCGGAGGCACCTCAAACACATACAATCAATGTTGATTTTGAGTCACGCCTCAGGTTTGTGTCTATTTTAATTTCGGAAATGCATATTTGTAAACCTTATAAAGATGTATTTCCGTAGCATACTAAAGCACAAATCATACAAAAAACTAGAAAGTTATAGTTTGACAAAGTAAAATTAGCATTGATAACATAAAATCAACATTATGTGGGTGATGTTAACATAAATCAATATTACATTTCAATATACATGTGGATGTTTCAACATCTTTATAATATCTCTGATCGATCTCGAAATCGTCGCATCCAAGAGAGAGGTAATGCTAGAAACATTTCGTAGAAGTACGATCGAGCAGAAATACCAGGAGACTTTGTCAGCACTTGAAGAGTTCAAGATCCGGGTAGAGGTGAAGAAACCCAAGCTTGAGGATGCCTTCGGCGAAGATGCTTGGGAGGATCATTGTCATTATCTCTGAGATTTGATACGCAAGAGGGATGTCCTTATCCGAGAGTTGATGGAGAGGCCAGACCATCCAGATACAAAGGAAATGCTTGAAAAGTCTTAGGAATGGCGTAAAGATCATGGCTACTAGGAGTTTTATCTTTTGTAGTTTCATTTGATTTTGTATCTTGATCATCACCGGAGATGTTGGATGAGATCAATACCTCTTTGTATGCGGATATTTTTCATTTGGTTGTATTGTTTCAGCTTCACTTGATATATGAGAAGATTTATTGTGGTGTTCTTATCCATCTTTGTCGTTCTTGTTTATTGAAACCGGAATCAAGGGGGAAGATCTCCCTGTGCATACATAGGCATGTTTGCATTTTGCATCTTGCATTCTCATTTGCATTGCAGGTTGTTCTTGGTGGCCTTGTGTTCTTATATCTTCTTGGTTTTCTTCAATTCAGGATTGAGGAATTCAGTTTCCACAGGTACTCTACTCGAGGGAATCAGTAGAAGGTGATGGATCAGGTTCAGGCAGAATTGCAGGAGGTCAGGGCGCGTATGGCCCAATTCATGGAACTGATGCAGACTGTCGCCAGTGGACAGGAACAGCTGAGAACTCTAGTCCAACCGTTGATAGCATGGGTTAATGAAGACAGTGTTATGCACGGAGGAGCTGGTGTTGTTCATCCTCCGGTTGGTGGGTCTATTCCTCAGGGTATTCCTACTATTGTTATACCTCCAGGCGGAGGAGTTGCTGGTGAGAACGATAATATTGCTGGTAATGGTAGTGTGTGCATTGTGCACGGGGTTGCTGGTCCTCATTGGGAGGATAATCAGGATGATATATTTTCTGTGAAAGATCTGGAGGGTGGCTTGTCGACTGAAGCGGACTGAAGGTTCAAACTGATTGAGGGGAAAATGAAATCGTTGGAGAATCAGAACTCTTTGGGCTTGGATATGTCTGATCTTGGTTTGGTTCTTGGGGTTAGGATTCCCCCCAAATTTAAGGTGCCCGATTTCGATAAGTACAAAGGGACGACTTGTCCCAGAGTACACATTCGGGCATACTTCAGGAAAATGTCTGCTTATTCCAGTGATGAGAAGCTACTGATGCATTTCTTCCAGGATAGCCTGGCAGGGGCTTCATTGGAATGGTATATGAGGCTTGAGAGAATCCATATTCATAGCTGGAAAGAATTGGCTGAGGCTTTTGTGCGTCACTATCAATATAACAGTGATCTGGCACCCAATCGGGTACAATTGCAGAGTTTGTCGCAGAAAAATTCTGAGAGCTTCAAAGAATACGCCCAGAGGTGGCGGGATCTGGCTGCGAGGGTACAACCCCCTATGGTTGAAAAGGAGTTGATAGACTTGTTTATGGCTTCGCTACCAGGTGTATACTTTGAGAAGATGATAGGCTGCATGTCTGCAGGGTTTTCTAATTTGGTGATTGTCGGTGAGCGAATTGAAAGTGGGATCAAGTCTGGTAAGATTTCCAATGGTGGTGGATCCTCTTCGAGAGGAACGAAGAAGCTGTATTTTGCAAATCCCAAGAGAAGGGAGGGGATGCAAATGCTATCTCGCATAAAGGTAAGGGTAGAGCTCAGTCTCATCAGCATCATCAAGTTGGTACTGTAAATATCCCCGCCGCAGCTCCGCAACAAGGCAACGCTCTGCGACATTATCCTGCTAGGCGCCGGATGCCTGATAGACAGTTCACGAATCCTCCGATACCATATTCTCAGTTGTTACAACGGTTGTTGCAATTACAGTTAGTTCAGAAGAGGACCTTGGCTCCTCTCACAGGTATACCGCCTCCTGGTTACGATGCCAACACTCATTGTGATTTTCACTCTGGCGCCCCAGGCCATGATATTGACCATTGTAAAGCTTTTAAGCATAAGGTTTAGGATTTGCTTGACTCTAAAGCTATTAACTTCACCAACGAGGGGCCCAATGTGACTCAAAACCCGATGCTGGATCATGGGGTGGCAGGAGCCAATGCCGTTATTAAGGGTGAAAAGTTGAATCTGATAAATGATGTTGAAGATTTAAAAACTTTGTTGGGTTTTGTGAAGGCTTGCTTGTTGAAGAAGGGAGTATTTTCTGGTTGTTCTGCTGACTGCTCAGAATGTGAAGCGCAGCCTGAGGGTTGTGATCTTTTGAAGAGGGGTATTTAGAGAATGATTGATGAGGGTTGTTTGCAGTTTGATAAAGTTGTGAAAGAAAACGCTGAGCATAAAGTGAGTAATGATGGAAACGAAGTTGCCACTATTTCCATTCCATATCGGACTATCAATATTTCAGCGCCTGCTAGGCCAGCTCCGGTGACCATTACTATACCTGGACCCATGCCGTATGAGAGCACTAGAGCTATCCCATGGAACTATGAAGGAGAAGTGTTTTGTAACAGGCAGAAACAAGAATGGGTAGAATCGACAAGCGGAGGTTCGTCGGTTGAGAACATAGTCGGTGCCGGAGGTATTACCAGAAATGGTAGAGTCTTCTCTCCACCAGAGGTTATTGCTGATAAGAATGACAGCGGCAAGCGTAAGGCTATGATTGAAGAGAATGCCTAACCCCAAGTTATTGCTGATGAACTTTCAAGGGATACGGAGGAATTTATGAGGTTAATTCGGAAGAGTAACTACAAAATTGTGGATAACTTGAATCAAACTCCTGCAAAGATTTCTATCTTGTCATTGTTGATGAGTTCAGAGGCGTATCGTGTAACGCCCGTTTTAATTAATTTCATTTCCGGTATTAATTTATTCGCGGATGTGTCTTGAGGAAGTGTTAGAAGATTATGAACTCATAGTATCAATATATGGTAAATAAAATGAGATAATTAATGGTAATGTGAAAATTATTATTGATTATTATCATTGTTATTTCCAATATTAATATATGAGGAAACATAATTAATTGGACTTTTTGGAATAAAAAGCATTATGAAGAATTAATATAATTTTGGAAAATATATTTATTTGGATTAAAAATGAGTTATTTGGATTTAATAAAAAGAATATTGGGACTAAGGGTATTGTGGGTATTTTTGGAGAATAGAAAGAGAAGTGGAGGAAGAACTCGTGAGAACACGAGAGAGGAAGGAGAACAAGCGATCAAGGGTGCAAGCTGAAGCATCAAGAACAACAATAAACTAGCTGATTTTTGTAAGGATTGAAGTGCAAATTCATCATCCAAGCTTCGTTTGAGGTAAGGGGGGGGGGGGGGGGTTGCGGTACTTTGGCTTTTGCATGAAATTCGATAGATTTTGGGGAAAATCCCTAACCCCATGGAATTGTTGTTGTTTGATGTTGTTTGTATGATATTATTGTTGTGAATGTTGAGTTATATGATGTTTGATTCGTGCATGTGCTGAGATGTTGATTTGTGAGAGTTTTGGAACATTTCGGTAAAACTTCGGAGTTGAACCCGGAAGTTGGTTCGGAGAGTAGAGTGGATGATATTCGGAAAAGAATCGGGAATAAACCCGTAGTGTTGGGGTAGTATGTTGTAGGATATCGGGTGA